AGATTAAGACATTCGTTCGGCTTTATTGTCTTTATCTCTTTTTAATTTTTATCCTCTCACAACTGCATCGCCTCGACCTTAAATTTCGGCTCAGACTAATTTTGCCGAGAGAGATCCAGCAACCCGACTCCAAAGCCAAACAAACCATTACAAAAGACAAGTTGCATTGCGAAAGGTATTCCATGTTGCAAAATCTACTCGTATCGAAAACAAGTTTTCATAATTATAAACCAAACCTTTAAAATTTTAAATTGTCCCCAGCAAAAGAACCTTGTTTTTCGTGGGAGAATTTTGCAAGGTAGCGATCTTCGTCAAGATGGATTTAGAAATCGGTATCTAAGTTTCGAAAATTATTCTTTGATGAAGTTAATAAATCACGGGCGATTTGGTTCAACTAGTAGGAAGTAACGTAGTATAATAATTTGATAATTTAAGATCCCAGGCATAGCCAATTAGAACTTTGCAAAGCTGCTCCTTCACAAAAATGCGTTTTTTTAAGAAAATACCTGTAATGATTTTGATTCCGATCCGGTTAGACAATACTTGAGCGTTTTTAGGGTCAAAGTTTTAGTGGAACACTCCTCTATGCAATGATATCAGTCATTCAATTTTGAATTTTGTGGCAGTTAGGCCCCTTTTCTCATCAGAAAATTATGTATTTGATTTAATTCGAGCAATTATTCACGAATCCACAACAGTGGCCATATGCAATTTTTGATAACGTGCAAGGGTGTTGTGACAATCAGGATTGCCATACGTGATAAAAAAAATTTCATATTTTACGCTCATTATAATCCAATACGGTGACGGAGTCTGCAATCTTGCATGCCGGCCTGATTGGGACCAAGTTCGTTTAATGATGGGTTTTGAGCGTCTGACGATGGCGGTGGCTAAATTGCAACTCGGATCCGCAGACAGGTTCTTTGGCTCTTGACCTTTTGCGGGATTTTTGGATGATGCAAACCTTCAATTATAGTATATATCCTCGACAGGCTAAGTTGTTACTCATTCGATACAAACTATATAAAATATGGAAAGTTATGGTTAAAATTATTTAATTCTTATCAAAAATAAAATGCAGTAATATTGCTGAGGCATTGAAGATGCCCGCCAGGTACCATCATTACACTTCATCTTTGCATGATAACGTGTTCAAAGTAAGAAACAAATTGCATTCAATGGGGCATTAATTCCGGCCTTAAAGACCTACCCTTCGATAGACTCGCCGGTGACTTTAACGCTAAAGTAGAAATACAATCGGGCAACAAAAAAGAAATATCAGGCTTGCGTTCTGTTTCGATACCTGCTAAAACTAGCCTAAGGTACCTCTTACCGAGTTTATTTTAACGTCGGACTGTACCTCACGGAGGAAGAATATTTCGGTGACTTTAACGCTGGAGCAGAAATATAGGCGAGCAACAAAAAAACAATATCAAGCTTGTGCTCTGCTTCGCGTAAGGAATCTTTCACATGTCTAAATGTAAGGATCTACATTATTGATTATGTTGTTCAACTGACCTTTAAAATAGGATTTCTCACAGTGCTAATATTTTGAATATTGAGACCAAAATTATTTTTCGGGTAAGTAATAATTGAGTTAAAATGGTATGCTTTAATTTATATTCCCTCGATAAATGTTGAAAATACTCTCAAAAATAATCAACGGGAGTGAGCGATTTTAAATTATTTACAATAAAAAGTCAGCAATGAGCCTGTTATAAAGATTCAAAAAGGCATGAAGCAGAAAAATGCGCGACTCGTGATATTCGTACTTACGGCCGTTCAAGTTAGACCGCACTCTTACTTCAATCATAAGCCCATTATTGGAACTGTTTTAAATATCTTTGAATAAATTAATTTTAAGATGTAGAACTCAATCATTGTTGGAAGTTACCAAAAATAATCCTAAAAATTGGAAGAATAGTAAAATCGAACGTATTACTTTGATCAAGATGGTAAAGTGCCAAGTGTCATTTTAAAAAATTGACAACATCAAAATCTCAATAAGATTCCGACGTGATTTTTCAGAATTATGAATGCAGCTTCTTGGAAAATTTGAAAAACAATTGATTTCGAAACCGTCCTCAGAGATTGAAATGAGTGCTATCAAAAAGGGCACTGCTAATGAAAATTTATTTTAAAATTTAACGTATTGTCAGATTTGGTAACAATCTTCCCTAATTTTTTAAGAAAATTTTTCTTACTCCACTGTGACTTGTGGCTGCCGCCATGACTCAGATTTTCACATACATACGTAGGAAATTCTATGTCTGATGTGACATCTTTTTCCTGTCGTATTGTTGATATTTTTAACACATATTTATATTGCAAAATCTGCCCTGCAAAATGCATCAGCTTTTACATGATTTGATCCGTCAAAAATTCCCCATTCGGATTAAAAGGCAATTTGTATTCAGATCAGGAGAATAATTTGACACCTCCGTACCTCCATCATAAACCACCGACAAGAAAGCTCCCCACACATCTATCTACTTGCTCTCCCCTTCCCCTCTTTACACTCCTCCTTTGACATAAAATCCACCAAACTGCCGTGCTAAGGAAAAACATCGTATGGGCATTTAAATACTTCCAAATTACATCTTACAAAATATCTATTTTCGAAGAAAGTTATGAATATTTTTCCTTGAATTTTTCAGTGGTGTCAGATCAAATTACGAACAAGATGCTTCAAAAAATTGAGAGAGAAATATTCCCAAATTTCTCTAAAAATCCGAGATTTTTTAAAGACAATTTGGCAACGTATGAGGGCTCATACGGCGTTTTTCCATAAAGCACGGTAGTAAAGGCCTTTGCTTTTCTGGATGGACATGGTTTTTCCGCTGCGGAGTTACGGTCAGCCATGACTATCAAAACATTTTTCTAATTTATTGCCGCCTTTCAGGCTGTCTGAGATCATCTTTCATGATTGGAGTCATGCCGGCGAAACTTTATTATAACCTTTTTGAGGATCCTCGGAAAATAAAACGATTTTCTCAAATTTTTCTCTTGAATATTTAATCAACTGTCTGTCAGGTCAATATCCTCCTTTTTTAACAATGTTGCCGAATAATTATATATGAATGAACTATATCGTATTTTTTTTCTTTTAAAAAGAGGCATCTTCAGTGAGAGGCTTCCCTGATCCGGCATCCGACCAGACCTCATGGAAATTTGCCGGACGTCTATAACCTTTAAGATTAATTGATAATCGTGGCAAAATTAGATTAATAATTTCGAAATGCAGATTACCGAAATTAGTTTATGAGCTAATTTATGAATAGAAATTAAGTAGATGCTTACACCGCATGCGTAAAAGAAGATTTAGACAAGCATGAACTTTGAGGGTGGTGAAATTATAAATTTGGGTGAAAAGCCACAAAATTTTAATTACAAATTGTAACCATAGGATTCAAAACCTCGAGTTAGGTTGGCAAAAATTAGCTCTTTAATGTAAGATCAGTGTTTCGAAAATGTTACCCTTTATATTAGCGGTTTGTAACAAGACTTTCTGATTGATTAACTAGGTCAAGATTTCAATCTCGGTCAACTAAAGTCGGAAAGCTGAAATACGCAAATTTTCGACGAATTTACCTACGGCTTTTTGTAAAAAAAAAATGTAAGCTTTTTAAGCTCTTTCTACGTTTTGAACTTTGTGGCAGCAGTAAATAAAGCAAACCTAATTTCAGGCTGCGAGCGATTAAAATGACTAACACATCAAGATATAATCAGCAGGTGCGACCAAAAGTAAATCAAGAAAATCCTACAGCAGATAAATTTTAGCGAGTATGCGTAGGAAGGCCCGCAATATATACGCGCGCGTAAATTGTATAGATATGAGCTGACGGGCGAGTGGATTACGGGTCTGGAGGCGAGGGGAATTAGTTCGCCGGAGAGAAGAAGGAAAAGAAGAAGAAGAAGAAGAAACCAGACACTTGATGATATCGCTGGCATTCAAAGAATTTACGGCGCATTGCGTCATTTGTAGAGCTCGATCTCAAAATAAGGTTAAGCGAAATCAAAAGTGGTTGCATACCTCTCGGGCGGCTCAATCTGAGAATGGGGTTAAACAAAATCGAAAGTAGTTGCATATTCTCTAGGGCGATTCTACCTTAAAATGAAGCGCTTATCTCGGAACCCTGGTAAACATTCGCAGAAGGATCTGTGTTCCAAAATACTAAAGACCTAACATTTCCTATAGCTTCTACAGCCGGCTATACAATTCCTTATAGCCTTTTATAGCCGATGACGATAAAATTACAGCCAGGCGATAAGCTGCATAGCCCGGCGACAGGAACTATAGCCCGGCTATATGCTTTTCTTCGCTTTCAACAGCCAGCAACATGATTTTCTATCGCCTTCTTTGGCCGGCTATACGAGACCCTATGGTATTTTGAAACGCACCTCCTATTGCCAATTTTTAAGAGGGAAAGGTGCCAACTGAGGGGCTTGGAGGACAAGGCGCATAAGTGCTGTTTTTTTAAAAAAAAAAAAAAAAAAAAAAAAAAAAGATTGAGATGTTAATGATTTCGAGTAAAACTAGTCTTAATGCTTATTCTGTGGAAAATTCGCCCTCGGATTCCAATTTTTTAGTATCGAAAAGTCAGTTTGAACTTTCTTTTCGCCATAAGGATCCATGTAATTTCGAAAATTGTCTGGAATTTCAAAAACTGCACTTATACGCTTTATCCTCCAAACTCCTCAACTCTGAAGACATTGTTTTTCAGGAGACAAGGAAAACTTGACGGAAGGCAGATAAAGATAACTTTTCCGTCAAAAACTCAATTTTTAAAAAATTCGACTTTGCTTTTTTCAAAGTATGCGCTAAAAATAAGAATAGACAAAATTAAACATCTCACGCAGTTCAATCCAAGAATATAGGGTTAAACGCGATCAAAAGTGGTTGCAGACGCCTCAAGCAAACTTGATTGAAAAACTCTTGTCTACCTCTCGAAATATTGAATCTGAAATTGTGAGGAAGAAACTCAAAAGTGGATGCCTACCTCTCAGGAGATGCGACGAACGCCCGTCAGAAATCCTGTGGTGCACACTGATTATGGTTGATTCCGGTCGATTCAAGCACTTATCAATTCGAATTACCACAAATCACTACTCTGCGGATTGGAAAGGAGTTTGGGGTTACGGAACGTCAAAAGGGTTGTTTAAGGTTTTACAGAAAATACGGTTCAGATGGAAAACTAAAATCAAGGCAGGAACCTACACTATGAGAACTGAACCGGTTTTCCTGTAAGTATAACCTTACGCTCTCAGTGAAGTTCCTTGTCGAAGAATTAGTATTCAAACAGCAATTTTTTAAGGTAACTTCTAATTTTTGCCCATTAACAATTTTTTTAAACATAAACAATCTTCCAGGATAAAGTATCATGACGATTTAATGTCGCCCCAGTGATCCTCAAAAATTTAGAGGGAGGAAAACATAAATGCATACATGCATAATGTGCAACGAATTGAGGTGCATATTTTCGGCTCACTTTCGGGCTGCTGCGTCCAAGGAATCTGCGTTTGGATGACCTGAAAATTCCTGGCCTTTTTTGGTGAATGTTTACCAAATTATTATAGTCCAAGATCAGTAGGTAGCTTTCGAGCGAAAAATTATCTACATTCTACATCTTGATGCTCGATTGACGAAAACACGTACGATGAATCGCTTATTCACATGACCACCTCGGCGTGAAATATTCATGACGTTGTTGAGCTTTTTTCAATAAACTGTTTTATGTCACAAAATTGCCGATTTCATAAATGGGCAAGAACCCACTCATGTTAAGATTCTAACTGATAACCCTTAAAAATAAAGGTAAATTGGGGTCAACTTTTAAAGGAAACCCTTCTTTCTGTATTCAATTTTACTGAGTTTTTTTTCATTCTTACATTCTCATTATCTGTATATCAGCCCTTTTTTCGGTTTGTTTACCCATAAAATAAACTGGATTTCGCAGGGACGGTGATCTTTTTCGCACATTTTTTTGCACGCACGTATATTTAAAACTTAGGAGAGTGAAAAAAACACGATTATCACGGGATTATCATGATTACCACTTAAAAGGCACCACTGTGTGTGTACTTGAACATGTATCAAGCCAAAACAGTATTGCTACTGAAATGCATCCGAGATTGATTTTATCACGAGTCGATCGGAAAAAAATAAAATAGCATTTGATTCCAATTCCACGGATAACCAGAAAATTGAACAATTAAAATGTCCTACATTCACAAAAATTAGGTAAAGAAGTCACAAATGAAGAATCCAGTGAGAGCGTAAGGAGTCTTGACAATACATATAGAATTTAAAAAAAAAAAAAAAAAAAAAAAAAAAAAAAAAAAAAACTGAAGTTTTTTGTGGTCCGAGTTTAATTGGGGTCACTTCAAAATCATAGATCAGGTTTAAAACCACTTTAACTTTTGCAGAATCAACACGCCAGTAATTAACTCCTTCGACAGCAGAAATCCAAAAATTAAGCGCACCATTTACCCTGAAAATGTTTGAGGTTCAGATGATGTAACTGAGTCAATGGCAATTTAAAAAATTACTCAGCAAAAAAATGTGCGTTAAAGGTCCCTTGAAATGAGGTAAATCAGGAGTTTTCTATAATATAGTTATTTTTAATGATAAGACATATGAAGAGGGAGGGAGACAATTTTTCGGGGATTCAAAACGCTGATTTTTTTTTAAAAAAATTTTAGGGGTTGTTCTTATTTGATCGAATGAGTGTCACGCAACAAACTGCGTAACATTAAATGGGGATGATTTTGCTCTTGTTAAAGATTTTAACTAGATCTTGATTTCAAAAAGGGATTGTATTGAGGGATCAGAAGGTTTGAAAAAAATGAAGGATATCAAATCGTGGGCAAAACACTTTGCACAAATCCGGCACTGGTGGGAAAATCAACGCGTGAAAAGCCGCGGAAAACTGCGAATTGCGAAAAGCATGCGACGAACCTTACAAAAGACACAAGGAGTCCACGGGTGTCGCGATGAGAGTGAAAGTGGCGCACAAGGTGCGGGATATTATATGTGACTTGGACTTGGGGAACGACCAACCGCCGCACACTGGATCGAGTCAATAGGAGAGCTCGAGCAAAAATATCATAACTTTAAACGCTTATAACTCCGTTTATACAAAACTTTGAGGTTTTAAAAGTGGCTCCATCGGTTTCCTCGTGATATTTTCTACCGAATGAACACCTTTAAATGTAAAATGTGACGAATTAAACATGAAAATTCGCAGTTTTATTCGAAAATTTCATGTGCGGCCTCCCTAATCGACTCGATCCACTGTGCGCCCGGCCAAGCACCGAGCCAACGCACTCGGCTGGACCAACGGAAACGACCTTGCAAACTTCCCGCAAGCTTGAAAGTTGGCAACGCCGTTTTTTCCTCCATTTAAATGTATATAAAACAATCGATTCTTGGTGGGGCAGCTTGCCTTGCTTAAGATCGATATTTTCAATGGATTTAAATGGAGGAAAACCAGTGCTGGCATCTTTCAAGAATCGCCACAGCCTGCAAGGCGGACCCTTCACGCACCATTGACAATATCAACGGTGGAACTCTCAAACCACTTATCTCGTTTGCGGTGTTTAAAATCTTCCCTTTCTGTTTTATTTTTTTTCAAATGAGAGCGAATCGACATCATTCTTTGAAATTTTCCCTGTTTTTGCTTTGCACAGAGAAGAAAAATCATGGGAGTTTTTAGGGATTGACATTGCGTGGTTTTACCTTTAAAAAATAAAGTATGACATGAAGTCTGGGTCGTCACAAACAGAGATACGCGGTTTGGGAGTTCCATCATCGATATTCGTTGTCGACCCTTGGACAGCTCCTCCCCTTATACTGCCGTGCTAAAGAAGAACGCCGTATGAACATTCGAGAGTTGCCTAAAATCCACCGATTAAATGTTTATTGTTACGGAAAATTATCAACATTTTTCCTAGATATTTTCAGATGTTCTAGATAAAATTACGAAAAAAATTACTTGAGAAATTGGAGGAGAAATATTCACAAATTTTCTTCAAAATTAGTGATTTATCAAAGGAAATTTGGCAATGCCAGAAGGTTCATACGGCGTTCTTCCTTAGCACGGCAGTATAGGAGACAGATTAGGTTTTATGAAATCCTTCATCAATTTCTAATTGTTGCATTTTTGAAAAGTAAAAGTTGCAATTTAAGAATCGCTCCAGGAGGGTCAAGGAGAACTTTACGTCTCTTTTTGTACGGTTCAAAGAATGGGGGGGGGGGGGGCT